GGACACCTCGCGAAGTGCAAAGTTTGACCGGACACTTGGCTGCCTTGAACCGGTTCCTATCGCAGTCCGTAGCTAAGGCATTGCCTTTTTTCAAGGTACTCAAGAAAGCTGACAAGTTCACCTGGACTGTGGAATGCCAGCAGGCCTTCGAAGAGCTAAAAAAATATCTTCACCACCTTCCCACGCTTACGTCATCTCGTCCTGAGGAGACCTTATACATTTACCTTGTGGCCGTGGATGAGGTTGTCAGCGCCGTTTTAATTCGGAACGATGGGATTCAGGAACTCATTTATTACGTCAATCGGGTTCTCCGAGGCCCGAAGACCTGGTACATCCGAGCAGAAAAACTCGTGCTGGAGTTAGTCCACACGGCCTGTAGATTAAAGCCCTACTTCCTAGCTCACCATGTAAGTCTGCGGACTGATTAACCGGTTAGACAGATTCTGTCACGCCCCGAGGCATCCGAACGGCTCACCAAGTGGACTATTGATCTAGAGGAGTACGACATAACCTGTGAGCCCCGAACTGCTATCAAGGCCCGGGTGTTGGCAGACTTCTTGACCGAGCTCACTTTCCTTGTGAGCCAAGACACCATTTTGACTGAAGCTGAACCCCAAAGGTGGACCTTATATATGGATGGATCCTCCACTAGTGATGGTAGTGGAACCGACTTGCTTCTCGAAAACTCTCACAGAGAGACGTGCTCCTACACATTTGGTTTGATTTTGCCGCATCAAACAATGAATCTGAGTATGAAGCGCTATTTGTGGGATGACAGTTGGCTTGAAAACTTGGTGCCAGCCAGATCTCAGTTTACAGTGACTCCCAACTCGTGGTGTGTTAGGTACTGGGAGAGTACGACGCTAGAGAGGAAAATATGCAGCGATATCTCTCTAAAGTTCAATAATTGGTAGCCTATTTCAAATCGTTTGACATTTAAAGGATACCTCGGTCAAAGAATATGCGGGCTAATGCCTTATCAAAACTTGCCTCCATCACATTTTTCACTCTCAATAAGACTGTCCATGTAGAGGTTCTTTCTGAACCGGGGTACCTCGAGGACAAGGTCTACCCAGGGACCTCAGCAAATACCTGGATGAATCCCTTTATCAGCTTTTTGGAATGAGAAATTCTGCCAGATGACAAGGCTGAGGCGAAGAAAATTTAGCGCAAAACGGCTAGATACGTACTTCGAGGTGGCAACCTGTACAAATGTTCTTACCTCGACCAGTGGCTTCGATGTATCACAGTTGAGGAGGGTGAAAACATCCTCCGGGAGATCCATGAAGGACTGTGCAGGGCTCATGTCGGCCAGCGAATGTTGGTCAAGAAGGCCTTATTACTTGGCTATTTTTGGCCAACCATTCGATAAGATGCCCAGGCATTGGTCTTGAGTTGCCCCTCATGTTAGCACCACGCGTTCGAACATCATCAGCCAATCAACTTTATGGTCCCTATCACGTCGTCATGGCCTTTCGAACAGTGGGGGACAGATATCATTGGACCCTTCCCGAAGGCCATAGGTGACTACGCTTATATCGTAATGGTAGTGAACTATTTTACGATGTGGGTTGAGGCCGAAATTTTAAGAAGTATCACAGGCCAAGCTATTCAGAAGTTCTTCTGAAAACACATAGTCTATCGCTTCGGGTTATTTTAGATCGTCATCTCTGATAATGGGAAATAATTTACAGACAATCCCCTCAAGGCGTGGTGCGAGAAACTTGGAATTAAGCAACATTTCATTTCAGTTGGACACCCTCAAGCCAACAGACAAGCCGAGAACTTCAACTGAACACTTTTACATGGCCTCAAGACGAGGTTAGACCAGCTCGGAATCTCCTGGCTAGACGAGCTCTCTAGTGTGCTCTGGTCTTATCAGACCACACCTAGGACGGCCACTCAGGAGACCTCGTTCTCATTAACCTATGGGTTTGAAGCAGTGGTCCCAACTGAATTCCTTACCTCGAGCCCTCGAATAACGGCCTTCGCTGCCGAGGCTAATGAAGAAAAACGAAGGACTGACCTCGACCTCTCTGAGAAAAAGAGAGATGCTGCGGCAGCCTGGATGGCCCTATACAAGAATATCCTAATTAGCTATTATAATTCTCGCGTGAAAAATCTTCGGTTCAGCCCGGGGGATCTCGTTCTTCGAAAGAACTCGGTTAGCCGAGTTGAGCCCCGGGAAAGCTATCTCCGAACTAGGAGGGGCCGTACCGTGTGGTCGAAATTAATCAAAATGGATATTGTAAATTGGCCTACCGAAGTGGTGCCCTAGTACCTAGGACCTGGCATGCCCAATTATACTTTCCATGATACTTCCATCTTATTCGAGGTTACTCACGCCTATTTGGCGTACTTAATTATTTTCTTGGTGCTATCACATGATGTTGTTAAAGAAATTAGAAGGACAAACAAGTGGTAAACGAATAAAGAAGCAAAATACTAGAAGGTGGAAGCAATAGAAAATGGAAATTCATATTAATATTAAGAGCGGTACAAGAGTTGCAAGTACAAAAGGCCGAGGTTTAGAGCCCTGCTAAAGGTCTTCCGCCTCAGTAGATCCCTGGCCCATAGTATTCCCGGCTGCCCCGTTCTTCGCCGCCGTTGCGTCCGGGATCGAATTCTACCATCTCGCGGTTGAACTCTTCCCGCACCTCGGCCAAGTCCTTTCCAGCTTGGATCCCTTTGGCTATGCGATCGCAAAGCTCTTGGGTGTCCTCGTTGTAACTTGCCTTATCCTTGAACAAGTCCACTTGTTCCACAGTGAGGAAGGGAGTGACCTCTTTGATAGCTGTGGTGTAGCCGAACATGTAACTGGGCAAGGTGAGTTGACCGAGATCGTAAGTGAAACCCTCAGAGGAACGAAAGGCTTCTACTGCCGAGCTTCCCGCCTTGTCGATCGCAGCCCGGGATGACTGCTCCTCTTAAAGTCACCTCTTCAGATTACAAAAAAAAAAAAAAAAAAAAATTATTTCGCAATCCTAACTTGCTATGACGTAGCCCATTCTAATTGTTCTACTTTCTCCTTTCGGCGATCGTTTGGACCTAACGATTTGCCTTCATAAAAAATTCGGAATTCAAAAATAGCATTTGGACCTAACGATGAGGCCTTCAGGGGAGCCGCCTATTGGTACTCTGTAGTTTGAAAAATGAAAACAAGAAGATGAAAAACAATAATAAAGAACTCTTCATAAAAAAAAAAGCATAATACGGTATCAGTAATTTAATAGTTTTTAGATATTTGAATTTGTAATTTTAATGAGTAGTGACCACTGAGTAGTTAGATGGTGGTGGATTCTTTTTGTGGTTCTTAGAAAGATTCTTGTCCGATTTCTACAAACTACTATCTGTTTTCGTCAATGAAGATTCTTTGTTTTTTTTGGGCTTAAAAAAAAAAGGATTTCAAATTCATTCTTAAACTTTGCTTCATAGTCATAACTGAAAATACAAGTTATAAAGTTCAGGGAAAATTGCTAATTTGGTTCCTAAACATTTTTACTAACGCCAATTTGGTCCTTTAAAGTTTTTTTATATGCAATTAGTCCTCAAAGTAAAATATATACGCCAATAACGGATCTGTATCGCGGTGTCGCTCCAAACTTGTCTATTATTCCAATAGACGACGGTCCATTCAGGGGCTTTTTGGGTAGTTCATGCCAAGATCAAAAATTAAAAATAACAAATGAAAACCCAGATCGAGAAGAGATGTGGTCCAATTTAGCCAAATTAGGGTCTTGAGCAGATCTCATTCTAAAATGTCTTCAAATTCCTCTTTTCGAATGCAAAATAGAAGGAGAAATATAGATGAGGTGTCGTCCAGTTCAGCCACCAATGGAGATCCAAGGAACAAGACATATCACACTTCAACTCTTGGAAGATTCAGCCGTCAAAATGTTGAAAACTACAATGAAGATGCCTATGTGGAGTGCCATTGTCAAGAAGTATGCAAAATAGTTAGTTCATGGACTACAACAAATCCATCAAGAAGGTTTTACGGATGCAGAAATTACGGTGTATATGACCAACTGGAATGGGATTTATTTGGGTTCATTCTTTTTTTTTAGGCTAATTGTTTTTTTTATTACTAATCAGAGAATATATGATAATTTGCAAATGCACCATGCTTGCAATTTCTTTTTATGGCACGATCCTCCTATGCCATAGTACACCAAGAATGTGATGGTGAAATTGCTACGAGAACTAAGAAAAGTTGAGGGGAGAACATGGAAATGAAGAAAGAAATAAAAAATTTGAAAGAAAGGATGAAACTATTACTGTTGGTTGTGTTTGGCTGCTGCATTTTATTAGTAATAGTGTTGAGTGATAATGCCAAAAAGAGGCATGTAGAACAAGGACTCAAAATGTTGCAGTAGCTCAGATAGTGCTGGATGTTGAACCTAGTTTAGAAAGCTATTGTGTTATGTATGACTATTCAAACATGGTTAGGTACTTATTTCTCATGTTTAATTTCAGAAGAGTTTTGCTTTGAATTTGAACAATCCCAACCTTGAAACCAAACTCTGTAGCGACACAACAGCAAAATAACCAACTATAACCGCAACTAGATATCAAGTATGTCATACTCACCAAAATAAAATTCTGCAGAGTTTTGTTTTCATTTTAAGAATCCTAACTAGCAACCAAATACATAGTACATTAAGGTTTTTTTAGATAACAACCTGAGCACTAAAAAATTTCTGAACTTGCCAATAAGTATCATTCCAACTATTAACAAAAAAGGGATATGTTTATATCAATTGGACATGATCGTTAGGTACCAAAATAACAGCACAATTCCAGTAAACTAAAATGTTCTAACTAATATGATTTAACTAGGAACTAGGATACATGTTCCATAAGTAGGCTCACAAAAAATGTTCAGACTAATATTGTCAGCCAAAATACATAAGTAGACTCAAAAAACTACCTTTGGTCCTTATATTCTCCAACTAATATGTTGATCAACTTTGGATGTGACCTACTGCAGCTACTTGACATTAACCAGCTAGATGGTCTTCAGTTCTGGGTTCATTCTTCTCATCTGGATCATCTATGAGCCTGTGTGCCTGCATAAACATGCAAGTATAAGTACTGTCATAAAGAAAGTATGCAAAGTAGAAACTGTTTTTCATCTCATAAACTAACCCTTTACTTTATCCTGCGTTTTTCCCAACTAAGTCAACATATGGGCCATAAGCATCTATAGATGACTTCTGTATTCTTCAAGATTGTGCTTGATATGTGGGACATGTTTTCGTGTTATGTCCTGGAGTTCGACAAAATCTGCATTTTATAATCTTTGTCTTTTGTTTAGGAACTTGACTGGGAGCCGAAGATGTAAACTCTATTGTTTCACCCGATTGTAGAACTTCAGTTCGTGCACATGAAGTTACAAGGGAAAATAATAATAATCAGTGGCTATAGAGATACAATTAACATGCATGTTGTCATTTGTGTATGGAGCAACTATGTCCTGCACCTCCAACAGCTTGTTTTTCAATAGTATAGCCTTCCTAAGCATGATGTTGATGAGCTTCTCGTTGTTTTTTAATAGCTGGCTGTGCATTAGACACATTAGGACATAACCCTTCTGTTTAGAGAAAATATTAGCAAATAGACTTAATATTACTCAAAATAGTGTAGGTGTTTGGTAGGAATAACAAACTAGCTGTTGAAGTATTCATCTCATTTGCACAACTTTGCTCGCTGTTGTGGATTTTTGGGCAAGTTCTTTTATTGTGATCCAATTCTTGACAATTTCTGCACTTGTTACTATTGAAAGATGGCCCCCTACTGCTACCATGTGCAGTTAACTGCTCCGGTGGTATAAGTCGGGGACATTTTCTTTTAGTGTGTCCTTTTTCATGGCAGTTTGAGCAACTCAGTGGACATACTCCTGCTCTTGACAACTTTGTAACTCCATTACTGCCTTTTTGAGGTTCATCCGATTCCCTCCTCCTTGCTTTCTTAGGCCTTCCAGGAAGTCTCATTTTCTTAGGTGGCAGTACAGGTTTCTTGGTCGAGGCTTTCCATGCATTTGGACCACTTATTGGAGCAATAGCAGGTTCATATGTAGCCAAGTACGCCCCCCTTGAATAACACTTGTGCACATAGTTCTCTGGTTTGCCACCGGCGAGTGAAATGCATGCAATAGTATGACAATAAGGCAAGCCTGTGGGCTCCCACTTTCTACAAGTACACGTACACTTATCTAGGTCTACCACATAGGTTCCCCAATAGATGTGTTGGACTTCAAATCTTTTGTCATCTGATTGTCGAGCAATATTGGCAGCACACTTAGTTTTTGCCTTTTCCAACTTGTTCTGAATTTTTGGGCAAATATCATTAGTCCGTTTCTTCATCCATTCTCTTTTTGTCCTTAATCTCTCCATGAGATAAACTCTAATGTTTTCAAGCATACCAAGAATTGGTTTTTCTCTAGCGTCTACAATGACTAAGTTGAAACTCTCACACAAGTTATTCAATAGAATATCACACTTTGCTGCTTTTCTAAAGTGTGATCTTGACCAATGTGCTAGATTAATGTTGTCTAGCAGCCACCTGTGAGCATTGCCATCATACTTTTTTAAAATTTTCATTTCATGTTCAAATCTCCTCATATAGGATGATCGTGCACACGCCCAAAATCTATTTTTAAGAGATTGTCCAGGGTGTAACCTTTTTATGTTGTTGTGTAAGTGCCGTACACAATGTCTATGCTCTACTCCTGGAATCACTTCTTCAATAGCAGATTCTAAACCCTGCAAGTGTAGACCAATAAGCAAAAGTCGATTCATTGAAATAGGAAAAAAAAAAAAACAGCAAGCATAAGCAGCAAAATGTTACCTTTTGCCTATCACTAATGATGGTCCAGCTCTTCTGTTCATAAATTGACAAATCATACTTCAAAAATTCTATGAACCACTTCCAAGAATTTTTATTTTCGATCTCCACCATGGCATAAGCAACAGGATAGATGCAGTCATTTGCATCAATACGAACTATTGTTAACAATATTTCAGGGTGTGGACCCCTTAAGTGACAACCATCCACCCTAATCAAATGTCTACAACCAGTTTTGAACCCTCTTTTCAATGCTTCAAAGTATATATACAATCTTAAAAATCTATCCTTACCACTACTTTCGTCAAGTATGGTCTCCATATGCACTGCTGTCCCGGGATTACATGTCAGCAGTTCTTCACAATAGTCTCATAGCTTTCTGTATTGGTTTTTATAACTACCATGAATCAACAACTTGGCCTTCATGAAAGTCTTGATTACCCGGTGCTTAGTGATGTTGACATTGAGTTCAAGGTGAACTTTTGCCATGAGCTGTGCAACTGTCACCTTCTTGTTCAGTCTAAGAAATTTTGTGTAATGTCTACTTAAGAAACCTGAATTGGCCTGTTTGTGATAAAATATCGAACCATAATGACAAGGTGGTCCCATGGTTCGTATGACAAATGTATTACTATCAGCCTCTTTAGAAGCATGAATGAACCAGTTGCAATTTGCAGCCTTGCAATTAGCCCTCATTCTTCTAATATCATTCTTTTTCCATTAAAATACTTTTCCCCATTTCACACCATAATAATCAACGGCTCTCTTGAAAATTTGTTTATCATCGAATAACAAGCCAATATAAAATTTTGGTTCTGTCATGTCAATTTTAGGCCTAAACCTGATATATTTTGGCTTTCCCATCCTTAAATTGTCCTCATCTGAGGACTCACAGTAGCTATTTAGATCCTGAGTATCGATTGGGGCTGATTCTTCATGCACTAGAATGGGATCTCCATAATATAGATTCAAGTCATCGTTAGCCCCATTTTTCCTACTTTCTTGTTTGCATGCTGCTGTTTTTTCTATTGCATCAACAGTTGGTTTTGTGGCATTAATTTTATTATCTTGAGTCTCTTTATCAGCAAGTGTTTCTCCTATTTTTTGATCAACCCATTTTTGCTACTTTCTTGTTTGTATGCTGCTGTTTTTTCTATTGCATCATCACTTGATTTTATGGCATTATTTTTATTACCTTGAGTCTCTCCACCAGCAAGTGTTTCTCCTATTTTCTGATCAATTTTTACTTTTTTTTTCAGTACTAGCAATAGTTTTCTGGAAAATCACATCATCTTCGTCTTTGCTAAAGTTATAATCACTATCATGAAAACTTTCAGCATCAGTAGACTCTAATTCTGCATCATCATCAACCGTGCAGTCATCTTCTTGCTCAATAACTTCAACTGGCACTGTAGTATTTTCAAAGGTAGTGCAGTCATCGAAGGTTACGTCAATATAACAACAATCTTCTTTTGACACACTAGACTCGGCCGCACCAACATTACACCTGCCTAATTTACTTTTCAACAATCTAATATGAAATTCTTATATCAAATATAGTTCAACATCACCAATTTGGCTTCCTATGATAGCCATATCTGCAACATCATCTTCACTATCTGTTTTTGCAAAGTTTAAATTCATTCTCTCTACCTAGAATTCTATAATACAATTTTACATTACCTTCATATCCAAGCAAAGTACATAATGCAGAGAGACTGTTCAAACTCACTCCATTTGTAAGGACACCCTCAAAAGATTTCATACTACCACTGACATACTTTTCTTCTGGTGGTCCAAAATATATCCCACCATGAAATATTTTCAGCGTAAAATAATCCAATCTATGTCCTGTTTCTATTTTTTTTTGCACAAAAAGACAAAAATATTTTTATTAATTATTTTTCACGTGCTTAACCTTTATTCTGTCCTTATTTCCAATACCATGAAAGCAACAATATGAGCTAAAGAAAAATCGAAAAAAGCAACATTCCAGTACCATGAAAGCTACAATATTATGCAATTTTGCCAACAAAGGGACCACATGAGCTAAAGAAAAATCGAAAAAAGCAACATCAATCCCATATCATACCCCATATTCAGCCATCCAAATTCCTGGTCTTCACTTCCCATGAAATGGACATAATGCATAAAATAAAAAATTGATTCACAATAAGTAAAGAATCAACAGATTATGTAACCAAATCATCACAACAATTCACTTCAAGTAAAACTATAAGTAAATGTACTTACCAAACTTTCCGGCTACCATTTCACTGGTTTTACCTCCAGCACTCTTTTGCTCACCCAATTGTTCCATCCTTAGCGATTTGATTTTATTGAAATCGTTTTCCATCATCTGATTTGTGTGCACTGATGTAGATTTCAGACGGCAGCAAAAGGCCCTAAATCAGTTTCGCACACACTCTCTCATAAGCTTTCCTAATTTTGGCATATGTTGGACGCATTTTTATTTTCTATCCAGCATTAAAATGATCTTGGCATGAACTGCCCAAAAAGCCCTTGAATGGACTACCGTCTATTCGAATAAAAGACAAGTTTGGAGCGGCGCCGCGACACAAGTCCTTAATTGGCATATATATTTTACTTTGAGAACTAATTGCATATAATAAAACTTTAGGGGACCAAATTGGTGTTAGTAAAAATATTTAGGGACTAAATTGGCAATTTTTCCTATAGTTCACTTTTTTTTAATCTTTTCATTTCTGATCAAAAGAAAAGGAAGTCATCGGAGATTCAAAAGAAAGGCAAAAAAAAAAAAAAAAAAAAAGAAGAAGAAATTTACTCACTCGCCGGGCGGTTTTGACAACCATTTTCGAGCGGTTGAAATCTCAAATAAATAGAAAATAATGACAATTCACAGCAAATTGAACGCCATAGCTAAAGCTGCTTTCCTCCCCATCCCTTGTTCTTCTTCCCTGAATAAAAGCTGTCTAGAGTCAATGCATAATAAGTTTGGGCCTTAATTCCTCTCCCATTGTGTGCTTATATACGGATGGCAGCATCACTCAGTAATACCGCCGAAGTCTTCACCAGAAATGCGACTTTTTGAAGTCAAAAATTTTTGGGAGTGCCGATCTAACTTCAAACACTTGGGAAATTTAAGCTATCTTTCAACGTTTTAAATATTCACACCCAATCTGCACAAGGAGTTGACGCCTTAGACGGAGTTCTGTACTCTATGACACTGAATGATTAACTGTACGAATTAATTTTTATTACACTGATACTGTACAGGAATAAAGTTACACATCACATGTATAAAAGAGAATTATAAATATTTACACTAATAACGTAAGTAAAATTATAAATATTTACCCTAATAATGTAAGTAAAATTAACTAGCAATTGAGACATCAAAGTAATTTTGAAGTGCAAGCAATGGTTTAAATTATATGAAATTGAGAAGGCTCATATTGACTTTGTCACACGTTCCTATAGGGGATACTTGAGAACATTTTATTTCACAACCATACGCCGGAGAGTGCGTTGCATAAACAATCATTCTATCTCAGCTGATATCCCAGTCCCATCCATGCAAGCAAGAACCATCGAGGGAAAATACATAAAAATGATGAATCATGTCCCTGTTAATTACCTTTAGTATCCCCTTTTTGTAACTAATCCTTGTATGGTCAAGTGTTAATATCTATAACATGATACCGTTTGTTGGAAGAAAAAAAAAATGTCCCTGTTAATTACCTAACAAAAAAATCCTGTTAAATTTACTCACCATCATATATGCAGGCATTAAAATCAAAACCTTCTCGAGCCATAGCGGTCAAGTACGATGATTGACAGAAAAAGCCGTAAGAAGGCTTCCCCATTTTTAACTCATCCCTGGGAACAAATGATCATGACCTCTTCACCAATCAACAAATTAGTTGTGTGGTACGTGTTAGTGGTAAATTTGGGTTTTGCAAATGTGATTTTGTAAGGGTGGTTATTATCCATTAGTTAAATTTTGATTTTTTTTTTATTTTGTGGGTTTGTGAGTCACGTAAATTAAAAAATGGGAAGGGATAAGGAGAAGCGATAAGAATTACTGAATTAAAATAAATCTAATATTGTAGTAAAAAGAATTTTAGATTTCTGAATCTTGTAGAGACCCCTCATAAAAAACCTACCATCTAATACATATACAATCTACTATCTTAAGGGTGCAAATGAATCGAATTTAATCAAATAGCTTACAAGTTTACTCGGTCAAAATTTAAATTCAACTTACAAGTTTAGATTTGTTAAAATTTAAGTTTAAACTCGCGTTTGAACAGTTCAAACTGGTTCACGAGTTCGAATTTAATATATAAAATTCAACAGCTCGTCGAGTTTACAATAGAGTTTCATTAGGTGTATCTACTGATAATACCCAAAAAAGATAATGTAACCCCTGTTCATTGGAATAGAGGCGGGAGTGGTTGTATACAAATATTGTATCTCTTATATGTTTCGTTGTACAATTGAGTTTTGCATATTTCATTTGCTACTACTTGTATATACTAAATTAATGTTATAAGATGTACAATACTTTAGTAATTGCATACTAAATATTATAAGAATTACAATCATCGGACACAACTACATCGACTCACAACTGTACCTGCTCGTGTTCCTTGTCTTTTGCGTGCTGATGATAAATTTCTATATAGGTAAGACAGTAGCAGACTAGAGCCTCCGATTGATAGAAGTTTCACTGACTAAATGATTTAATTTGATTCTCTATAGTATTCTATTAATTAGCTACTATAGTATTTCATCTGTTTTTAAAAGGATTCTATGTATTATGATGGAAGCAGTATTCCAACTTCTAGAAACAGGACTTGTTTAAGTTGCAAGAATGTCTCCAAAGCATCCAAATGGATTCGTGAATATGGATAGAATTTGTTTAAGTTGCAGGAATGTACTTATTCCACCTAACTCATTTTTGTTGTGGATGTTTGTCTTTCTGTGGCTGGCCGTTCTGTTTGCTGAGTCCCGCACTTATCTTAGTACCCGGATGAAAGGAACTAGCTATAGCAACCTTCTTGGGACAATGGTAGCAACTTCCTGCGTATCATATGCTTTGCCGGAATGCTAATTTGCATTTTTTTTTCTAATAGACTACCTCTAGAGTAATTGGCCACCAAGAGAGGCTTAAAGGTCTCCTTGGATGGATAAGAGATCAAATTTCATGACCTACATTTTTCTTCAGGATTTTCTAAAAAAATTCACTAGCAAGTGCAAATGCACTCATCTGGTCTGGTAGCGATTCAATTCTTTTCGAGTTTTTCATTGATCCCCTTGGATCCACCGTGTCGAAAAAAAAAATTTCCTTTTTGTTTTCGACGAACTGAAGGGGAACAAAAGAGAGTTTTTGAATGCTATTTGTAGAAGGCAACTTGGACCCTCAAAAGAAACACCTCAAACTAGCTAGCGGAAATCCACTTCTGTGACAATTTTAATTACTTACCTTTCATTAAAGTCAGACAATTGTTTCCTTCAGTCATCGCGCCAATTCTGCCTTACTAGGATCATCTCAATTTACTGCATTTTACCCTGGCATTAAGCAAAAACATCATAGTCACTTCATCGTTAACTTCAACGACGTGCAAATCTCCAGATTGAACCAATAACATTTTAGCTATGATCAAGCCATTATAAATATCGTCGCATTTCTTATAACTTCCTGTACTGCTAGATTAATAGTGCATCATAAGACAAACGGCTGTGTCCAGAAAGTATTCAGCAATTAATATAATGATCTTCTTTTATCAAGAAAAAGAAAGTTTTGGTAGCATGCTCGAACGTTTTCGGGGCGTTGATAAATGGAGCCGAAACACTTATGAATTTTTGTATATCATATGCGGGGAGCCATCCATGCTGCAAGCCTGCAGCTAAGAAAAATTGTTTATTAGCTGATATAACCATTCTAGAATTGATTACATAGAAATAAGTAGCTTGTCCTGTCAATTTCGTCTCTATGTTTCTTGGAGGCCGTCTAGTTTTAAAATATATAAATTATAGTACAGCATTGGTTTGAAAACCGGCTCTCTTCTTCTTGTAGGTCAATTATGCTGGAAGCAACATTCCAAGGAAACAGATTTTTCTTTTCTTTTTTTTTTGACATGTTGCAAAATTGTTCCTGGCTAGAATTCCTTTGTCCTTGTGTTCAAAGATTCCAACAGGGATTCGTGCATGTGGAAGGATATCTATGCTATGGCATCACAGATAACTCTTCCTCCTCTTCTTTTTGTGTGAGTGTGTGTGTGTGTGTGTGGAGGTTGGCCTTTTGGTGGCTAGCCGTTCTATTGCTAAGTCTGTGCTTATCCTTGCTTCTGGGAACTTGGGATAACCTTCGGGACTTCTTCTTTATAATATGCTTTGCCAGGACAGAAATCTGCATTTAATTCAAAAAAAAAAAAAAGATCAAGAAAAGAAAAACAATGTAGTGTTAGCGTGAAGGATAAATGTCAGAGTTTAGATTTATTACACAGTTATGTTTTCACAAGTGATGGCTACTTCGTGAAGAAAACCACGAAGAGAATGTAAGGAACCTGTCAACAGCCTGCTATAAGTGGCTTGCAGCTAGAAATATTGAGGATGAACATCAAAACTTCCCTATCCCTTGTCGGGAAAATGGACTGAAACTATTGCTAGTATTATTGTTGTTGAACAATAAAACAACTTTTGAACAAATTACAACAGCTGTGTAATATTAGGTTGTAGTCTTTATCATGAAATTATACAAGTGGTTAATAACTAATTATATCTTATTCACAAGATACTACAGTTGTATTAATAATCGTTCTTGCCCTTTTTTCATCCATTCTTGATGTCTAGGATTTTGAGCACTGTGCAAGTTGATTCTACTGAGTCTATAAGATTATCTACATTGGAGTTTACGTAATAGTCGGACGAATTTCTCTTTTTGCGTGGAATTTATACCTGTTGAGAAACTAAAACTCATTGCCCAAACTCACTAGTAAAAATGCTTTAATAATGCTTCTCTATAAATCACAATAGATTCATCTAAATCTTTACTCACAATTTTTGTCGTCCAATTCAAAAAAGAGAGTGACTTGTGAAGAGGAAGTTCTTAGATCAACCATATCTCTCACTTACAAATTATTTTTGCTATACTCTATGCTCCTCTTCACCGTTTCTCTGTCTCGCTTTGCGTCCTTCAGTCTTTCTATTTCAACATTTAGCCTTCCTTAATTTTAATAGGCTTCAAATGTGATCCAATTTGCTACTAGCTTTTATTCAGGTCAGCAGAAACGATATTTGTATCCCAATTTGCTCTTAGAGCCAAATCTACTT